TTCAAACCCACCAGCTGCTTCACGGGAGAAAGATGTGACAGTCTGCTTCCATAAAGATTATAGCCTTGGAAACCCTACCGGGCAGTTCTACTCTGTTTTATAGGGTTGCTCTCAGTTGGAAATGACTTGACAGCAACAGGCTCCTTTAGATCTCTGTCACTTCCTTAGAGAAATCTACCCTGGTTCTTGTAGCACTAGTCACGGTTGAAAGATTAGATTTGTTTGAGTGATTTATTTGCTTAATATGTGTCCCCATTCAACTATAAACTTCATGACAGTAAGAACTATGAAGACTACACCGTTTTTGCTCATCATGGTATCCACAGTGCCTAGCACATATCACATATTCAAAATATATTTGCTGAATGAATGACTGAATGGAAGTATAAACCAAGATATAGAAATATGAAAAACTTTGGAGGAAGAATAAAAAGTGTAGGAAAGGAGTGCTAACTGCTGGAATATAAAGTATAAAGCAGGAAGTGGCATGAAATAAAGTTCAAGAAGTCGGCATGTGCTAAATCATGGAAGGTTTTGTATGTCATGTTAAGAACTGTCTTCATCTCTCAAGCAGTATGGAGCCTGAAGGGTTTTTAAGCAGGAGAAATGACACAATTTGTTTTGCATTTTAGACAGTTCTCTCAGGCTGCATGCACTGTGGAGAAAGGATGTAAAGGGGCAATGAGATGGATGAAGGCCCAGACTAGGGCAGTGATTTAGGAATGGAGAATAGGGTCAACTTTGGGGACCAAGTGACTGAGGAGCTTCCAAGGTCAGGATAACTCTCAGGTTGTCAGTGAAGACCGAACGAGAACATTAATGTCAAAGTGTTTTATAAGTACTTCACACCTTACTTTCCTTTATATGTATATATCTTACCTTTCCTGCTAGATTATAGGAGTCTTAAGAGCTCGGATCAAGTGTTATGCACCTTTATATTCATGACAGCATTTTTCAGAATGTCTTGCATATAACAGGCATTCATAAGTTTGATCAAATAAGTTGATTAGATGATATGAGATGAAAAGAAGAGCGAAGTTTATACCCCCATCTCACTCCAAAAAGCATCCAAGGCCGCTAACATGCATGCTTATTTGGCCACTCCACTCTATTTACTATCCCACTAATATATTTTGTTTTCCTTGCTTGTGTCATTCCCTGATCAGATATAACCCCTCTCCCACCACCACATACTCATGTATCCATCTAAATCCTTTTTCTCCTACAAGACCCAACTCAAAGCACCTATTTCCTATTCCATTAAACTTTTTATTCACTTCAATCCTCAAATGATCTTTCTCTTCTCAACTTTTCTATTATCACTTATCAGATAGATCTGCATTATACTGTTTGCTGTATCTCCAACTAGACTATAATTTCACTAAGCCTAGGATCAAATAGGAGCCCTGGTGGCGTAGTGGTTAAAAGCTTGGCTGCTAACCAAAAGTTCGGCAGTTCAAATCTACTAGCTGCTCCTTGGAAACCCTATACGGCAGTTCTACTCTGTCCTAGTGTCGCTGTGAGTCGGAATCGACTCGACAGCACCTAACAACAACAACAAAAGGATTAAAAAGTTTTCAGAGATACCATGGCAAACTTTAAACATAAATTGTAGGTATGATAGAAAAAATTCTTAGACGGTGGTCATTTTTTTTTTTTCAATCTAACAGAGGAATCTGAAATAAGATCATCTTAAATATAAAATACTAACCCTGAACTTTCATAAATTAAATGTCATTAGCTGATTACTTCTAGCACGTATTTACCAACAAAGTTGTTAACATTTTAAAGTGCAGGAAGAAAAACATGAAATCCCTGTACCTTCTTTTTATCTCTCAGGTACTTAGACCAATGTCCAATATGTCAAAGTGGGAAGACAGTATGATGTAGTGGATAAAAGCAGCCTTTGAAGTCAGATGGTGCCAGGCACACAGAAGTTACTAAAAAATATCCGATCAAAAAAATGAATGACCTAGATTTACTATTTCAGCTCTGAAGCATTCTAGTTGTGAAACCATGCACATACTTGACTTCTCTATGCCTCTGCTGTGTTGTCTGTAAAAAGGAGCAAATACAATCTATCTTACCAAAATATAAGGCTGTTTTAGAATTAATGAGACAATTACATAAACTGTTTAAACACAGTGCCTGCCACATAATAAATACACAATAAACAGTAGCTATCACACAATAAATAGTAGCTGTCATTATTATCAGAGTCCCTGCCTGGTGCAAACGGTTAATATGCTTGGCTGCTAACCAAAAGGCTGGAGGTTCCAATCTGCCCACAGGCATCTTGGAAGAAAGGCCTGCCAATCTACTTCTGAAAAATCAACCATTGAAAACCCTATGGAGCACAGTTCTACTTTGACACACATGGAGTCACCACGAGTCAGAGCAGACTTCATGGCAACTGGTGATAGGGGTGATTATTATAATCACTACCACTAGATACCAGTATATACCACTTAAAAAAAAAAAAAAAACGTTGCCGTGGAGTCAATTCCAACTCCGGGCAACCCATGTGTTGCAGAGTAGAACTGCACTCCATAGGGTTTTCAAGGCTGTGACCTTTTGGAAGCAGATCACCAGGCCTTTCTTCCAAGGCACCTCCAGGTGGATTCAAACCATCAATCTTTTGGTTAGCAGTCAAGTTTTTAACCATTTGTGTCACCCAGGGACTCATTTATGTCATTAGTCGCTAGGATAATGCAAATTAGAAAACCTCAGTATGAGACCACTACACACACACTAGAATGGCTAAAATTAAAAAGACTTGCAATGCCAAATATTGGCAAGGATGTGGAACAACTGGAACTTTCATATACTGCTGGTAAGAACCCAAAATGATACAGCCATTTTATTTAAGTATAACTTATCATATAATGCAGAGAAATGAAAATGTGTCCACACAAAGACCTATATACAAAAGTTCATGGCACTTTAATTCATTACAGGCAGAAACTGGAAACAACCTAAATGTCCACCAGCTGATGAATGAATAAACAAATAGATATACAATGGACTACTACTCAGTAATAAAAAGGAACAAATTATCAAGACATGCAACACGGCTGAATCTCAAAAAGCATTATGCTAACTGAAAGACATCAAACGCAAAAGACTGCATATTGTATGATCCCATTTATATGAAATTCTAAAAAGGCAAAACTATAGTGATAGAAAGCAGATTAGTGGTTATCTGGGATCAGGATTTGGGGAAGAGGGAATAGACTGCAGCAAAGGGACATGAGGGATTATTCTGGGGTGACAGAAATGTTCTGTATCAGGACTGTGTTTTTACATGACTACATTTATCAAAACTAATCAAATTGTACACTTTAAATTTGTGGATTTTTTTTGTGAGTATATGCCAATTAAACCAAAAACAAAAACCAAACCCCCTGTCATTGAGTCAATTCCAACTCATAGCAACCCTACAGGACAGGGTAGAACTGCCCCAAAGGGTCTCCAAGGCTATAAATCTTTGTGGAAGCAGATTATCACATCTTTCTCCTGCAGAGTGGCTGGTGGGTTCGAACTGCCGACCCTTCAGTTAGGAACTGACCACTGTACCTCCAAGGCTCCTTATATGCCAATTAAGTCAACAAAAAAAACATTAAAGAGACAAAACAAACAACAAAAGAAGTTATTACTTGGCTCTCTTTCTACAGAAGTTTTCCAATATGCTTTACTTACATACTTTTTCTTTTTAACATAAAAGCCTGCAATCCCAGAATCATTATTAACACATTTCATAATCTTCTCTGGTAAAGACTGAACAGATTAAGACATGTTATATGGCTGCACTGTCGGTCTTTATTGCCAACTAAGTTGGGTAATCGATAATCAAACGTCCTTTTTATTTCAAAGATATAACTATTGTGCTCACAGATATATGCTACTTTTCCTTATCTGGACTTTTAAAATTTTAATTTACATCATTATTCTGACAAGTTTAATTTCTTAATTAAAGTGATTAACTGCTCATTACCAGTTTGTTTGTTCTTAATATCACATTTAGGTAGGAGAGGTTTAAAGGTACTAGATTCAATATTTAGATTTCAGGCAAGTTAATACGGAATAAAATAAACTTAACTGTGCCAGAAGCAGACACAGAATGAAAGTGACTTAACTATCATAAAAGCCTCAGGGAATACATGAAAGCAAAACCAAAAGGTAGCCAGATGATGACTTACAGGGCAGACTTGGCCCACAAGTATGTTCACTTTGGACTGGGTAACGTGCTAAAAACAAAGAAATTTCCTCCTCTAGATTGCCAGTATCTCTTGAAAAATCAGAAGCTCTGGCAGTCCTAAATTACCCCCATTAACACCTAAAGTCCACTCACTACTTGCCTGGCCACATGCACCTGAGTTTTCTTCCACTGGCCTCAACTAACATAACTGAGAGGTGAAGTGAGAGTTATATGGAAGGAGTTTCCCCTAAGTTTATTATGCCTACCTCTCCTTTCCAGATAGACCTAAAAAAAACCTGCTTATTAATAGCAAAGTGTAATAATACAGGTGCTCTTCAAAATGTATACTGAATGCTGATGACGTCATTCAGTGGGTATTAAAATTGTAAGTAATTTAGAATATTTTCATGCTAAGCACTGACAAAACCCAGACTCTAGAATTTTGCTCACTACCTCCATTAAAGTCATTTCCATATGTAAAATCAAAACAACAATAATAAAGCTTCTTTGTTCCTCTATCATAAAACTGAGCCATTAGTACAAAAAAAGCACATGAAGCATACTTAATGCTTTAGCAAAAGGGTAAAATAAAACATAGCAATAAGGAAGGAAAAAGGAATATTAATTATAAGCACTCATTAGCTAGAATTATTACTATTCATTCCATTTATTTAATGAAAAAGGAAACTACACCTTTGAAGTACTTGCTAAGATACCGCTGTTTGTTCCCAAAGAACAATTTGGAAAGTCCTAGACACAGAGAACAATACGTTAGCAAAAAAAGAAAATCAAACAGACTTACCCGCTCTGCAGTTACCTCCTCTCCTGGTAGACATGCAGCAGCAGCACAAGCTATTTCCATCATAGCCGAGCTGGTAGGAGCATCAGTTGTGGATGAAGACCTGGGCCGGCCTGACTGCATAACAGCTGCCATCTCCTGACCAGATTTCCTGTTGATTTGAGGACTTCCCTTTGGGGCCTCTGGCTTGCCCCGCCTACTATGTAAGCTTGTCCCTCTCTTCATCTTGGGTGGCACTCGGATCTGCTGCAGGACTCGATTCAGAGCTGTGGGGTGTGTGGGGACACCATCAATCTCAGCACATGCGTTCTGGCTTTCCAGATCCATTTCAGGTTCTGGATCTGCCTGAATTTGCTGCACATCATGAGGAGACACTGATGACCTCCTGCGCTGGTGCTGGAAGAGATGCTTCAAGCCTTGGCCAATCACATTAATGTTCTCCAAAGCATTGTGGGTCATTTTAGACAATTTCTGTTCTGAGTCTGTCTGCTTTCTGGCCTCTGCATCTTGGGATTTGCCTCCAGGATCAGGGTCCTCATAAAACTGTTCACCGCCAGAAGGCTCCATCAGTAGACTTAATATGCTTATTTGCAAACTCAAAAATTTTTAAACACACCAAGACTGCCAAATTAGGTAGGCATTTGCTTCAACAGTTACTACACATGCAGCTGTGAGACGGAGGCTTCATGCCTATCTAATGTATAAGAAAATAAAAATAAAAAAGAATCTCATATTATAAATCCATGCAGAAACTCCAGTGTTACAACAAAGAAAAACATGCAGCTAGCCAAACAAATAGGCACTATCATTAAGCAACCTTTAATCAAAAGATTAAAAGACAGTTTTCTAGATAGTGGATAATGATTATTTTCTAGAATAGGAGAAAAAGCCCAGAGCAAGTACACAGGAAATGAAAAAAGCAATGTTTAAAAAAAAAAAATCCCTACAAGTTTCAATATATGAAGAATTGGATACTACAGGAGCCATCTTGGACTGAACACCACAACAGCAGTTGACAGAACAGCCACTGCTTGGGAAATCAAGAGAGAAAAGACCATCCAGTGTGTTCAGCCAAGCTGAGGCAATTTAACCCCTCTCATTCGTCACTTCAGTTAATTATTCATATGCTGAAACCCAGCAGAGTAAATTCAAACAACAATAGTGAAAAGTAGATACTTCAATCTAACTGTATGTGGATTTTAATGAAAAACAGGTATTTCTTGTTACCATTCACAGTCATCAAGTTCACTGGTAACTAGAAGTGACAAGTTTGCTCTTCTGAAGAGGCAAAGGAAATACAAATCCTACAAGTTGAACTTTCTACTGAAGTACAAATGACCTTTCTGGCACCATGTGAGTGAATGGTCCAGATAGAATGAGACTTTAGAAAGGCTACAGCTTTGCTCAGTACCAGCTATCAAGAAAGGGGATTCAAAGAAATCCCCTTCTCTGAATAGTGTCATCCTTGACAAAAGCTTCCCATATATCCACACAAACTCAAAAGCAGAGAACTAATACAGTAACTGGGTATGACGAAAAAGTAGAGAAAGGTCAAATAGCAACCACACACCAGTATTAAATGCAGGAAATTAAAAGGAAGCTGAAACTAAGAGATGTTAAGATCAGCACAATTACTGAGATCACATGCATAAAAAGGGGGGAAGGGGCATGGCATGGGCTGAGATTTTTCATAATAGAAAGTTCTTTTTTTTAATTGAGTTTCTGCAACTATAAAAAACAAAACTGTATTAATATACAGAATTTGCTACGGAGGACAAAATATTGCATAGGAGATTCTTTATTTTCATATTTTTCCTCAACTTTCTGTTTAAAGGGCTTTAAAACTCCCAATACTGTCAAGTACCTTGAACAATCTAAGTTACCACCACTGAAGTTATTATGCTGGTCCTATTCTGGAGTATGTCTTGCCATCAAGTGGCAATCTAGAAGTCAAAAATTAACTGGATGTAAGAGTTCACTATGAACTCAAGGCTACTGGAGGAACAGGAATGCAAATCCACTAGAGACTGTTTCCTGCCGACTAGTCTCGGAAGACTTTTTTACCATATGATACAGATGCCTAGTTCCTGGCATTGCGGCTTCACAGTCTATATTCTCTCATGCCTATTTCCCCATCTCCTGACCTCGTCATGACTCAGGAGCATAAACAGGAACACAAGTTAGAGACATTTGTCTCTCACCAGTACCCTCCTACTTTTTAAATGCCACAGAATTCTTTGTTCCCAAACTAGGCAAATGAGGAGCAACCGAGAAGATAGGAAATGTCACTGCCTTTAGCCAAAATTCTTTGTGGCCCCACTGAAATCGTGCCTTATCACTGTGGTATCTCACCCTTTTCCTGACGGTGCATTGCCTTTTTTCTCCCCCCTTAATCCACCAGGTGCTCCTTGGAAACCCTATGGGGCAGTTCTTCTGTGTCATATAGGGTCGCTATGAGTAGGAATGGACTCCACAGCAACGCGTTTGGTTTTTTGGGGGGTTTCTTTCCCTTTGGGAGAGCCAAGAAAGAAACCCTCACCCCTTATGAGAGTAATGGCTGCCTTGGTCCCTGCTTAAGTTTTCTGGGACTCACTGTGGGAAAAATTTTGTCAACAGTGTATATACTTAATTATCCTCATTTTTTCTCATGAGTTTATCTGGCAGAGTAATAGTTACTGAAGTATTTCCACTCTTGAAAAGCACTGAGCTACACAGAGTAAAGTGGGCTATGAAACTAAGATATGCTAATCCAGTAGCAGTGTACATCAACTAGTCTCTTTTTGCACTAAATGACCCTGAAAAGATAGGAGGATGTGAAAGCAACACACTGATAACGAGGAGGTAGTTTACTTTTTTTCTTCTTTGTACTACATTAGCTAAATAATACAACTGCTTTGTTGTTGTTGCTGTTGGAAGAAAAATTTATAAAAGAAGTTTATCCCATGACATTAAAACATTCCACGAATAAAGGAATGATGTCAAGGTTAGCTGAGATACCAAATAACCTACTTGTTTCATATACAAAGATATTAGGAACTTATTACTCAACAAATCTGTTTCTTTGGGCAATGTTATAAACTAATCAAGCGGCTTCTTACTAAAAATAAATGGAGAACATGGTACATTTAAAATGTCAGTAGTTAACTTCAATTGAAATTGTACTAGCACTTCTATATCATTTATTTTCAAATAATTCTAAATAATGATTGATGACAAGCAAATGCCAGCATTTCCCAAGAAAAAACCTAGCTAGGAAGGTATCAATTTCTGAGTCAAGGCTTATACAGGCTGTCTTCACAGCTGCAAAGATTAAGTAACAGAATAGTAATGAATTCTGGGATTTCTGAAGGCCAGACTTGCCTTTACCATATTAACTAGTATAGGCTCCCAAATCATGGAGCCCTAAAGAAACCCAAAATGAGCTTTTAACATTAGGTTGTAACATAACAATTTTGAAACAAACAAAAAATCTATTGCATTGCTTATAAAAACACAATTTGGTACTTACACTTACAGCTATCGTCTGCATTACTGCTGTAGTATCAGCACAAACAAAAAAAATGGTCAAAATTTTGAAGCTTGATAAATTTTTTTGTAGGCTAACAGGAAATCTTTAGGCTACCTTTCAACAGATGCCAAATATTATGGAAGTTCAAATTCTGTGCCAAAAATACAAAAAACTGGAATGCCGTAATAATTAAGAATTCTATAAAACTGCTGACAGTAAGAATACAAGCACTAAAGGAATTTAATACACAGTTTTTTAGGATGCCTCTATTTTCTTCTGTAGTAAAACTCAAATAAATAATAATTGTTGCTCAATTTATAAAATTCCCCAAGTAACTATATTGAGGTCCCTGGTTTAACACAAACAAGTTCAACTGCAAAGCCAAATGTGCTTTGTTAAGAAAGAAATTTTGCCCTTTCTTTTATTTACTCAGCTTCTCTGAAAAGTAAGGTTCTTATAAGCAAACCTAAAAAAAAGTGTGGAAAGAGAAAAGAGGGTCTGGGAAAAAGGGGAAAGGAAGAAAGGAGTAAAAAGGAAAAAAAAGGAGTGAAAGGCAGTCACCTACAGACAAGGCATTTCAGCAAATTCTGTTAAATTCTCAGAATTTTGAACAATTAATTTTTCTACCAGTTTTGCCAAAGATATAATAATATACCACCAGTTCACACTTAGGAAATAAGTTGTTCTGAATTAATATTAGAAATAAGAAAAAATTATGTTTTTAAAGTTCTGTCAAATGTTAAGGGTAATCTACAAGACCATTCCAAATTATATACAAATTATCTTTCTTCTTTTTTTCAAATTTTTCTTTCCAATTTTTTATTGTTTTGATGATAGATTTGGTGATCAAAGCTTTTTGGTTTGGACACGAACAAAGTTAATTTTACTAACCATAAAGATTTGGGTACTTGCCTTTATCACTCGTCCTCAAGCACTTCTAAGGTTTACAGGATCCTTTTAGGATAAGCTGAAAAGCAAACATTAAGAATTATAAAGTGATAAATTTAGAGAGGCAAAGTTATCTATTATAGATATCTAGGAAAAAACTAAATATACATATAACAAAATTGTTAACAGTGCTTATCTCTCACTGGTAAGATTAGGTTAATTTTTTCTAGCACTTTTCAAAATGTATTTTAATTTTTTTTTTTAAATGTAATCAAGAAAAATTGTAATTAAAAACAAAAGGTACTTTTGAAAAAGAATAGTAACTTGTTAGCACTTAAAAAAGTGGCATATGTCATAAGTAGCAATGAATATTTTAACACTATACTGAATTAGAAATGAAGATTCCATTATTTCTAATCTTAATATAAAATGTAAAATAAGTACATAAAAACAACATAATTTTATAAGCAAATATTTTTTCAAGTAGCTTCCAATTCTGTATCTGCAATTTTGTATTCACAGGCAACTATGAAAACTATATCCAGAATGTACAACTGAGAATAAAGACACACTGAAATTCAAACTTTCCTGGGAAACTAGCTGACAGGCATTATCAGAGAAGTAATTCAATCAGGCAAGTATTTTTTCAGCATCTCCTATACGCCCAGCATTATACAGACCAAATAGAGTGTATGAGCCTGCCCTCAAGAAACTGACAATCTAGGATGAAAAATAAGATTCACATACTTGAAATATAAGAAAAATAGCACAAAAATTAAGTGCTATCTACATTCTACCTTGGTGAGTAGTGTCTGGGGTCTTAAAAGCCCGTGAGCAGCCATCTAAGATACTCCACTGGTCTCATCCCTTCGGGAGCACGGGAGAATGAAGACAACAGGATACAAGGAAAAGATTAGTCCGAAGGACTAATGGACCACAGCTACCAAGGCCTCCACCGGACTGAGTCCAGTACAGCTAGATGGTGCCCGGCTACCACCGACTGCTCTGACCAGGATCACAACAGAGG